GACAATATCTCTATTTATTTATCAAAATAAAAAAAAAGGTATCTACTTCACCAACAATCCAATTAATAGGTATCGTTTATAGCTAGTTTGCATCTCAATGGCTCTTTCGAGATTGTTATGCATTTAGTTTTTTATGTGGATATCCTCATGTTGAATGACTGGCATGTCTTGTAGAATTGGGATGTAAGCTATTTCACAATAACAAGACAACCAATTGCCGAAGCACTTTTGCCACTCTGATTGAGGTATCTCCAAAACATGCATTCTGAATGCAGCAACCGCTTCTTCGGGTGTCGAAAAACGTTGACCTCTCAGTTTGTTTTTTACGTACGGGAATAAAAAGAAGTCATTCGGTGCCAAGTCAAGACTATTCGGCGGATGACTCATCAAATCGATGTTTTGGGTGCTCAAAAATGCAGTTGTTTGAGCCGATGTGTGAGAGCTCGCATTGTCGTGGTGAAGAGTGATCCGTCTTCGGCGGTTGATTTTCCTGATTTCTTGGAAGACAGCTGGCAAAAAAATCGTTGTGTATAGGTGTTGTGGTAAGATATCTTTAGCATTTTTAAAATAATTAAAGATGTCATTGCCAACAATATTCGTTGTGTACCACTCAGAATTGACTCCTTGGAGGACTTGTCCTCCTTTTCTTAATATTATCCTAATGACCCCCTCCTTTTTTTTAAATTCACATGGAATTTCCTTCTTTTTGTCCTGTTGATTTGAAAATAATACTGAAATAATTTTGAAGTAAATTAATTCATTAAAGGCACTTCATGTCTTGAATATCTACATTTTTACTCAAATAAATGGTCTGCATATACACTAGGCTTATTGTGATACAAAACTTATTTACGCTTATTGTTTGGTGGATAAGGATGGCGAGTGCAGGGGCGAAGTTATCCAATCGGAAGCTTTCATTTTTAATGACGCAAAGTCTATTATGCTTTTTAAAGACTATTAATGGTTTGGATTTGTCGAGTACAATGTCTATACGGCATGGAGTATACAAATGTAAAGTGTCCTCCTTTTTTAGGTAAAATGTCTTCCATTGGGAAACAATTTGTGGTAAAGGGGCTGCTTTGAAAATGTCCAGTGAGACCACTGAATCCCCGGCACCTCCTCTGCTCACGTCTATGTCCATTACATGTACACTGATGCGTTACACAAAATAGAACTCAATCGAAAAGCTTTTCGGAGCATGGAATCTCGATGGAGATGTTTATCCATTTTCACGTGATTCATGAACGAAGCTCTTGTGTTAAGGTTCTCACAGACCGGCGCGGAACGTCCCGCGCTAGACGCGGCGGCGGAATCCGCGGGACCGTTCACACCGGAGCGTCAATTATGACTCAGCTATTGGTGACAGATTTCCTCAGCCGATGAACAAAAGCTAGGGGAGTTCTATGGTGGAAATAATGGTGGTGTTATTTTCCCCATGAAGAGTCTATCCAGAGGGGAGCGAAAACTCCTGAAGGCGGCCGGACTTTCACGAAATTCGAGCGGCAGCGGTCGAAACGCGTCCGACTGCGTTCCAAGATCCGCAGGTAATAAAACTCGGCCAATCCGCGGCCGCGACTCTCGCTTGCCGCACAGGTCTGAATGTGCTCACAAGTAGAGATCGAAAAATTATGTACATAAATATGTAATGAAATCAGAATAAGTAATAAATATGTAAAATCAGATATAATATGTACTATTAAAATAAACTAATTATAAAACACATTTACATAGTACGAAATTACATTTGTTTTAAATTCCCAAAACAATTTCAAAATAATTTGAATACCACAAGTTGATAAAAACTTTCCTCCTCCACACCCCTTCTCCCTCAGTAGCTTCCCCGTCTGTAGCAAAATATTCGTCTATTCCTACCCAGGACCGTAGTTTTGCAACCAAACTACACGCAATAGATGGCATCGTACAAACTGGCGTTATCTATGTCCAGCAATCAGCAGCACTCTCATTTAAGTGTTACTCATTGGTGATCGCGAAACTTTCTCAAAAATTGCGGTGAATTATCATGAAAAGCGGCGTCAGTGATACTTTTCACACCTTAAGGATGGACAGTCGCTGACGCACACTTTCCGGTACTTGAAGCTGGTGCGCCGGGCTGTGAGCACATCACACGTCTTCACGTAGGGTACTTGAAGTAGACTGCTCGTAGTAATAATGAAGGAAAAAGTGCTGATTTTTTGAAAATACTTCTTTTCATAAAATTGATAGAATAAAAGAAATAGTGAAAATAGCAAAATATGTAATATAGTACTAAATATGTAACGAAAAAATTGAATATTGTGTTGGGATGGCGACTATTCGCCAAGACTACAAATTTCAGAACGCTAAGTAGAAAGACAAAAAATATGTAATTACATAAAAATCTGTTCTCTACTCATAAGGCAACACATGACGCGAAATTTCTACTGCGACCATTCCGCGTAGGCTGTGGGTTTTCCGAAAGCTAAAAATGAACAAAATGCTCTTAATTCTCTAAAATGCCTTCAAAAACAAGCAAAATTAAGTAAAAAATTTGATCAAAAACACTTCAGATGAGCAACTCAAGCTGTTGGATATGCTACTGATGTAATTCCAGGCATTTTCCTTTTGATTAAGTGAGCTTAGCTTGCAAACTTTTGGTTTTGACTGTTCTTTAAAAGAAAATAGTTGCTTTTATTCACCGCAAATTGGTCGAACTGACAATAGCAGAGAGATAAAAGTGTTGTCATTTCAAATACTTCCATCTAATTCATTGACTTTGACTTTTGAAAGGCCGTTCCTCTCCTCCAACATCGAAAACAACTACATAGGGTTGTTAATGCATGTTTTAAGTCATTGGAGTTATTTCCTTTTTTAAATTTGGATGAATTGAGGAATGAAAAGGGAATATGGATAAAGAAAGATGAACGACGTTAGTTAAATAATTGGAAATGAATGGGTGAATGAATGAGTAAAGTGACAAATGGATGTGATGATATGCATTACGAACGGAAAGAATTGAAGCGTAAGGGCAACACTGCAAAGCAGCGCGAGTGGGGCCGAATTTTCCACGATGGCCCTTGAGCCACTTCGCGGTCGGTGGCC